ATAGTACTAATTGTTATTTAGCAAAAGGTAAGTAAAAAGAGCTTTAATATGTCATTTGTAACTAGTTGCAATTTGATTAGACGAATGGCAAAAGTAGGAAGAGAGGCTGTAATAAATTATTATGAATTCAGAGATCAAGTTTATCAAAATAGTTACCGATATCTTAAACTGTATGCAAATCTATGGTGCGTGCTACTTATATTGATATAAGTAGTATATGTCTGGCAGCAGAAGATGGGGGAAGATTAAGAAAGGAAGAGCGGGAACACAATGCAATTTGTAAGAAAACGCATGAACAATGAAATATGAGAAAATGGATTGATGTTTGCAACAGGAACAGTCCAGGTTATGATAGATTGATATATTGCAAATTAACGATTAGCTATAGGTTTTTCTATTTTACCGAGTAACTGTAATTTTGTGCTAACTACATTCGATTGTCCCCACTGGTGTTCTTGTTCACTACAAATCAAGCCGCATATTGAGTAGAATCTGTTATATTATTCAAAAAGACTTTGTTTAAATTTATTTGGTGTACTGTATCAATCACACTTGATATATTTTCCTTATCAGTGAACTACACCGTATCCGAAAAAAGTGATCAGATTCTGAAATCAGTTTACTTCTATTCTCAAATTTTGTTACAGTTTATGCGTCAAAAGCTGAATATATTTGTTGTCACGTTTCTTATAATAACTTAGATGCTGAATAGTTATTAGTTTCGATTATTTTATGAAAAAAGTGATCATTTTGTACAAATTATTCATACTTATTTACTCTTATCTAGTGATTAAGAAAACTCAAGGGAATAGTAAGTGTTTGTTGACATATAGTAAGTAAACTCTTTGTAGTATCAGAGAATACGTCTTGACGATGTTTTAGAAGCAACCTAGATGTTCAATGTAAAACCCTATTTTTTATTCTGTTTGGGATTTATCAGTTGAATATACTTACATCTATGTTAGTCTTTCCAGTGTGACTCTAGTCTTGTACCTATCATTTCAAACAGCAATCATGAATATGAATGAAACACAAAATTACCCAGTTGATAAAATCGAAAACATCTCCCTATAATTAATTAGGAAAATTTAGTTATCATTTAAAAAAATAAACCACTTAAATAATTTTAAAATTCACCTTACCACTGAAAGAAAATGTAAGCATAGAGATACATTATATCAAGAAATTTTTAAGCTAGTATGCTAAATGGTCAGCGACAAAGTAAGTCTCTAAAGCACCATGGAGAGATTTCATGATTAACATTTTATAAGTTGCATTGACCATTAAGAGTATAAGATAAAACTAAAAAGCAAACAATGTCTTTAAAATTTCTTCAACGAAAGCTACCGATTTAAAATATTCAATTGTCTATTGATGTAATGTTATATTAAACCAAAATACTCATCTGAGATCTTTAAAAAGTCTTTAATTATACTAATCATCCCTCTCTTCACGCAAGATACTCAACATCCATTAACCGGATGCCATCAGCAACAACCCACTGTGGGAGAGAACAAACCAACTCCCAATTGAAGAGGAAACTAGGAAAAGACGATGGAAATGGATAGAGAAAACATTGAGGAAATCATCACACTGCATCACGAGGCAAGCTCTAACTTGGAATCCTGAAGGAAAGCAGAAAAGAGGAAGACTAAAGAACAACATTACGTCACGAAATAGAAGCAGATAGGAAAAGGATGAATAACAACAGGAAGGAGCTGGAAATGTTTGCTCGGGATAGAATTAGATGGAGAGTGCTGGTGGGCGGCCTATGCTCCTCCACGAGGAGAACCAGGAGTAAGTAAGTAAGTAAGTAAGTAAGTAAGTAAGTAAGTAAGTAAGTAATCATCCCTCTCAAAAAAGTACTCTTCATTCAATCATATTGTAGTGTAAATAAAAATGTTTTCATACTAAAATCATTGAAGTATTTTTGAAATACATAACACATTTGTTTACTTTATTCTTTTTTTCTCTACAAATACGTTACAGGAAGTTGTTTTAACTAGATATCTAATCTAAATATCAACAGATTAGTAATACACAGTTATATTTATAATTACGAAACAAATAAATTTTAAAATGTTCGCCATATATATATATATATATATAAGGGTACACCACTGGACACAGTTTGTTTTCTAAACAGTCATTAATTCGTGTTTATGTATGTATAAGTCTTAGTTATATGGTTATTCATAAAATAAAGCCTTATTAGTTTAATGCTAATGCATATTGCTATGAAATACTTGTCGAAATCATTTCTAAATTTAAATAATCTCAATTTGTAAAATCTACTTTGCAGATGATCGAAGATTTATGTAAACCAAATAAACATGTATCATGAAGTCAATTTTTCAGTGCCTACACATTAATCTCTCCCTCAGAATATATAACTGTACTCGATTAAATTCCTAGAAACAAGATTTCTCTATGTTTCCAAGTGTTTAATTTATAAGTTGCCATTCAATAATCACTAAATTCATATTATCTAGTCCTCGGTGTCAATCTAATTTTATCGATCAAGTTACCATGTAGTAGTAAGGATAATCAGTCATTAGAGTACTAATAAGCTATTAATATTACCTTCACATAAAATAGAGTGATATATCTGGTAAACTGAAGGTTTAAGTTATTGACTTTCTAACCAATTTCTGAACTCCACAGGTCTTAAAATTTTGAATATCAAAAATAAACCAAAAGGAGAAAGTATAAAAAAGCTTTACTTTTACATTTAGCATACCTTAGAGAAACATAAGGTATTTTTATGGCGTCACGATCAACCTTGGGACTCTGGTTCATTCTAGAAAATATACGGAAATTGGAAGTTGGACACTTAATAAAGCAGATTAGCGAAGCTCATAATGATTTGGTTTCTAGATATCCTTTAGAAGTTTCTGAGATTCACATACAAGATAAGCTTATACAAGTTTTTACTGAATAATAAATGAATCACTATAGTCTTGTTGGTTGCCACTATGCTTATTCAAATAACTTTTCCTGAACTTTTCTGCATATGTGATTGACAACATTGTTAGCACTGATCAATTACGTGGACTACAATTTATCTACATACAAAAGGGTGACTAGTGAAATTTTCAGGTCAATGATGTATGTTTGCCAACGTACTAAAAAGTATTTGATCATTGAATATTATTTAAGATGTTAATTATCCATTAAGTGGAATGTCAAGTCTCGTAAGCAAACATATACTTGAGGATTAACTAACGATTTCGAAGTAGGGATAAAATATAATGATATACATAGCATTTCCAAGATATCATAACTGTCAAGTTAATATTTACGGAAAGAATTAAATATTATACTGTTTAAACATTTTGTAAGTACCTAGATTTTCGTTGCTTTTGTGTTAAATTTTACATATTTTACACAAGTATGTACTTCAAACGTGATAAAAGTTTGAAAAACAAAAAAATGTTTGGTTATTATTCTTTAACACACCGCTTGTGAAGAAGTCTTATACTTGTTCATGGTTATGAAGAAAAGTCATCTTATTCGTAACTTATCAAATACACAGATTTATATCCATAGTGATATTATAAATGGGATAGAAATTCATCAACCGCCAACTTCAAATTTCTGAACGACATCAACTTCAGTGTTAACTTGTCACTATCAATAGATATCAGACAATTATAACGCTAATACATTCATAATGTCGAGTATTTCAAAATGTGAAGGGATGTAGCACCGATGGCTGTACATTTAGTCAACTAATGATACAAAAACCGAAACGAGTATTCTAAATTCTCGTATTCATTATCACCAAACATCCTCAATGTTCTATGTTTGGATTCTGAAGAATTCAGTTCAATACTACTGGTTCCTTTGATCATATCTCTCAAATTCACATCGATTTATCAGTTAGCCTCTCCGAACTATCTTAAATGAGACGAAGAGAGAGCAAGCGAGCGGGAGAGAGTAGATTTCACCTAAAACAGACATGAGTATGATAATTTAGCAGAAACTAAGTTCAGGGAAAGTTTATATTCTGAATAGAATTGATGGTTCAGTGAACCAGTTAAAACTACCTTTTCCTGATAAATCTACATACTCATAATTGTTGCTTTGTTTACTGCACAATGGGAACGTTAGTAGGAGTAATCAATTAAATGTATATATTGTCTCCTAAATTGTGAAAATTACACATTCATACATTCAAAGTATTATCAGATATTAATTCAAATATATTGGTTGTTTGTATTTTCCCATTGATGTTTAGGACTGGAATTGATCAATTTTTTTTGTGATATGCGCACGTGTGAGGATTGTCTTGATATTGCTAGCAGATTACAAGCATTTAAGGCAGAGACGGATGATGGCTATCTGTTGAATCCAGGACGTACGTTTTGTCTTATCCGGGCTGCATCAGATGGATGCAACTGCACCTCAGAGTTTGTTTAAAATATCATCAGATAATTAAGAACTTGCTGTGAACTCTGCAAATATTATGTCGTACATTCTTTACATAATGATCACACCCCACTAATTTACAGAATGTTTCGGCTTTACAATACAAAAAATGAACATCCTGCAATTTGTTGAATTTGATATATCAGACACGATTTTCTGAAAAACTAATTAATTGTTTTGTTGTTTAACGAACAAGTATCCAAGTTATATTTATTGAACTAATCTAGGAACTTATAAACATATGATTTAATTGAATTGGGTATTATCTAAAAAAAGTGTTCGGAAATATAAACATTAGGTATATCAACTGACTTACAAGTTTATCACTGATAGTCAATATATAAAGTATTAGTTGTCTATTACACAGTAAGTTGTTTACAACGGCTAATGGTACCTTACATCTTCGTAAGTTGTTTCCCACTCATTTACTCTCTCTGGCTGTCTGTCTGTCTCCATCCGTGTTATTGTCTAATATGGCGTGATTCCTACTTAGTCAATTATAATATAAAAGCTTAAGCATGATAATTTTATTAGACATTAAATATTTATTGGTAAACATATACTGTAATATGAAATTCATCTTAGTTTTAAGCTTATTAGTCCTTGTCACATTAGTTTTTGTTGAGTAAGTTTTATTTATATAACTGTATAATAATAATAAATTCTATTAGGGAAAAATATAATTGTTTTAATGATATTAGTTTTATGTTGATCACGTTTAAGAAGTTAATTAGTTTAACAATATTTTTTTAGTATCCACTTTGTGTTAGAATTTGATGAATAATACATCTAGTTTTACTTCAGGTCTTATTATTCATCTCGTACATTTAAACTAAATATATGGACGTAAATATTTAATAAAGTCTAAGTAGATCAATTTATTGCATAATTTGTGACATTTGAATGTGATCAAGTTGTTCGTTAAGGTAGTCATTATGAAGAGAACATTCATTCGCAACATGGAAATGAGATCAAGCTTAGGATTTTCAGAGTTTGAACTTAATATTCACGTTCTCACCTGTATATAGTTTACCTTATTATCTGAATTTCAGCCAACGTCAATAGTGATCACTGTTTCGTTCTCGACACGATTTCTAGCAACGCATTGAAAGTTCGTTTCAAAGTTGTCAGTAATTAACTCTTAGGTTATAATAACAAAGTGTGTGGAAACTGCGATTAATCAGTAATTTTATTACCAATTTAGCAACTTCTTTCATTAAGCCAAGGGTTTTTAAATATGAAGACTTACCATAGGTTCATAGAATCTCAAGGAAATCACCCACATACATACAAATAACCGATCAGATCGGGAAATTCAAGTAAAATAATGATATTAATACTATGTGAGCAGAAATAAAATTCTGAATAGATATATGTGCAGATCATATATATATATATATATATATATATATATATATATATATATATATATATATATATATATATATATATATATATATATATATATATATATACGTTAACGTCTGAAACATGAATAAAGAATTACTTACAAATGTTATAGACTATTCGTTGAAACTGCAATTTCAAAATATGATTTCAAAACATTTTGACTGTGCTGTTGAGTTGCAACGTACATATATCTATTTAGCGTAGAATAGTTCTTTATCAGCCATTCGAATTATATTATTTTATGAATAATGTATGTAACGAAATTTGAATTTCTAACTATGTTAGTAATAATAATCACTTCTTATATGTGGTCAATTTGCTGACGAAGAAGAATATACATGTATTCAAACGTCTGTGATTCTAATCACCTTGGTTACGTGATTAATACCGTTTCATTGAAAATATAATAATAATTATTATTGATGACAGAGATAAAACAGTCAAACTTTAATTTCTTTAAACTGACCTTGATCATAGAATTGACGATTGGTCTTTTATTGTTATTATTATCTGTTTTTTTGACATCATTTTTGAATTGTAAAATTCAAACAAATCATCCCAATGACTAAGTGACGATTTAAGTATGATCACAAGCGCTTTTCTAAACATTAAACTCATGTTAGGGCCCAAAAAGCACAGGAAATGTTTACAAGAAGATCTAGATTCAAAGCTAAAAATGTTGTTATCATTATAGAATGATATAAGGTAGAGAATGATTGAAGTATCAGGAGCAATATACAGCCATCTTCTTCCTGTTTTGAAACTTGTTAATAATTAACATAAACCAGGTCAGACGGGATCGAGTTAAGGATCCTTAGGTTCAATGAATATCATTTATCTCTAGACCACTGAGTGAGAATTTTTAGCGCTTTCAAATTAAAAACAAAACACAGCATAACTCTTGATCAATGCCATCTGTGATATCTGTTTCAATTTCAAAGTAATTATTTTTCTTAAACATTTAATCTTGATTCTGTTCATTTCATTAACAACCAAAATCGGAAGTTTGCATAAATTAACTCACACACACTTCTTTTCTTTGCTTATATTACTATCAGAGCAAGACCTGAAGGTGATGAATTTCTACTGGTAAGTGAATTGATTTATTTTCTTAAAAATTATTATAGCGAAAAATGCTATCGGATACTACTGATAAACTCAAAGTGTTAACATTAAAACACTTAACAATAGTTCGTAATAAGTTAAAAATTATTTCAAAGAAGATGGTTTAGGTGAGAAAATAGCAGAAGTTTTAGTTATTCGTAAGTTTAAAAATATTCATAATTATTTATTTTTGTAAAATTTTAGTTATTCAACGTCTCAATAGACGCTTAGAAAATTGTTTAAAATCATCTAATTTAGAATAATGAAACTTATGAAAATGTTTTATCATTTGGGATGTATTTTAAAAAAATGCAAAAAAACAACAAAAAAAAACAAAAAAAAAGAAACAAGAAACAATCATCAATATATATATATATATATATCTTCTTATTATAAACTAAAGTAAATTATCCAGAATGAAGGAATTAACAGTTAGCAACAAAGAAAAACAATATAGGAACTATTGATAAATCGTTTGTTATTCTTACTTGTATACAATTTAATATTTCAATATTATTATTTAAATGTTTAATAAAGAGAAATAGTCTAGCTAAAGAATGTTATATAATTAAGAAATATACTACCAATAGTAGTTGATCTCATACGTTTACTTATAAACATTTTTATATTGAAAATTAATAATCATCTATTCAATAAATAAGCTATGATCAGTGGAGCTAATCTGAATCGGGTAGAGACAGGTATAATGTAAGATATTTGGGCAACTTCGTGGATTGGTTGAGGCTAAACATTAACACTGTTGGATGCCGGCTCAATGGTCTAGAGGTTAAGTAGTCGAATTCCACGAGCGGGATCGGGGATGCGCACTGATGAGTTGTCTCACATTAGGACGAAATGATCATCCAGTGCTTCCAGGTTTGTAATAGTGGTCTAACATCAATCGGTTCATGATCTCAATCAAAATAAATACGAAACTGAATGATATATTGTGATTATTGAAAATATGAGAGATAGTATAATCTATAAAGTGTTGCATATTTTGATATCAACCTTCTAGAGTAAAACATTAACCGAAAATTAAATAAATGAGTATAAAACAATAGAAAATTGTTTGTAAACATATAAAGGATGGTTACATTTTTTAGGATCACTGTATAAACAGTTAGATATTTTTAATAAAAATATCTTAACTAACAAACTGATATTTAATGACGCTTGACGATCAAAAATGAAAAAGATTAGTGCTATAGCTTCTTTTCGATCAATAATCATCCTTGTGCAACAACAGTATTCTAATTTCAAATTTATTTCAGCTACTGAGATCTGCAATGATTTTAGTAGAAATTTGTAAGGGAATTTCAAAATTCATCATAGTGTATCTATTCAAGTATTCATGTCTGAGTTCTACTGAACCAAGATTATAATTGAAAGCACTTTACCGATGATTGATTATTTTTTTATCTTATATGCCTTTAAACGATTATTCAAGGTATCTCCGTCGAATTTAATTACATTCTCGTAGTTATTATGAAATAATTTAGACGTAGTGGCTAAAATCCATTACCGGCAACTAAGGTGATTGTCAGAGACATAAAAATCAACTTTGAAGAGATTACTATACTTAGACTATAATCTTTGTAGTTTATTGTAAGCTATCAAAGCATGATTGCCTTAATGAATATCTTTTTCTAAATTCTATGATAATATAAACATTTTAAAATTTATCAGAATGACTTTTTTGGCGATTATTCAGATGCATATTAATTTAAAGTATGAACTGAATTTAGCTATAAAGCATCCTAAGATGAAACGGTTTTTCAGTATCTCTACCGGCATACATCTCGTGATGTCAACTTTTAATATTGTTTACTTCAAAATGTTGTCCGAATTCTAAAAAACAAGTGTGTACTGTCATTTTTCAGTTCAATAATTAAATTTTAGTACAGTGTGTTTGATATTTAAAGGATTTAAGATAATTGAAACTAAGACACTGAAATAAGTTTACTGCATATCAGTAAAGGAATGTTAATATCTGTGACTTTGAATATGCTTAATAGATATTTTTACGCTTAAAGTACATAATTTAAATATATGTTGGAATCAGTTTTGGACGGCACCACAGAGTCCAAGATTTATATCAGATTTCCATTTGCTTATCTAAATTCCCGTTTGGCAGTTTTTGTTTCAAATAAAGAATACTTTTCACGGTTATTTGTAAATCCAAACGATGTTACGATCCAATAGTATTTATATTTTGCTGACATTTGATTTTGTATCAACTTTGAATCATACTTATAAGACTTTGGTTGGGTGTTTTATTCGACTTCTGTAATCTTTTCATTCCTTTGAGGATTCGTGTAAAATAAAGAATTTAATTTTAAAAAATTCTTTTTTAACCTTTTCCTTGTTTCACATAAAATGTTACCTCGACAAGTAAGTAAAGTGTATTACTTATCAAATTCACGTGAAACTTGTATGGTTTAAGATGGGTTATTTCCTTACTTATTTTCACTTGCAAAGGTTCAGGTCATTTCTCTTTAGAGTGAATAACAAAAAGTGACTTGTTCAAAAATAGTTTTCTAAGCGACCATTTTAACAATGAAAAAAACAATATACCCGAAGTTTTCTGATTCATATAAAAGTCTTTCTCACTAGTTTATGGTTTCTGAATTCATATGAGACTTAAGTTTATGATATTGATTTCCTGATTAAACATAATTACAGCAAATCATTGGATGTAGATTACTGTGTGGAATCGTCAGAGTAGAAATGACTAGTAATTTAGCATATTAATTATCAAATGTTATCAGTTAATATTCGTTTTCAGATAAGTTAACCTTGTTAGCTAAGATTGAATATTTAAATTAAGTCATTTGTGAGGAATCCATGATAAATCAACAAGTAACGAATATTCTGGGCATTCTGATTGCGTGTGCAGCCAGAAGAGAGATATCTTTCTGAAATTCACTGAGAGTGTCTACAGATGACTAGAATTTGTCGATAGTCAGTATATGTTATTTAAAAGACCGATATTCTGAAGTTCAAACTCTTGATTTTTACTAAATCTGTTCAAAGTGACTACAGTAATACGCATGTATCACACACACAGATGATTGAAACAGTAGACTGCAGGTTTATTGACAAACACCAGCCGATCTAACTAATTAGCCTGAATTCGATAGTTCACATTCTCAACTTCAGTCATTTATTTCAAGCGAGTTTCATTCAACACTATCAGTGAGTTACCGTTTCCCCCTCAACTTGATTAGCTTCATTGATGACAAGTTAACGATAGAAATTCGGGGGATCTGTTTTCAAGTTACGCAACAATAACTACGTCAACTTGTTACCAAAATGTACCAACAGAATATATTTTCTTGTATTGAACAGCCGTGACCAATTTTAATAAAAATGAGATTGAAGTATTCAAATTATGTAATTATAAAATACTATATATTTGAATCTTTTATTAAATTTACAATCCTAGCCTAGGCAAAGTTATTATTTTGGAGCAGAATCAGCTAATCGAATTGATTCGGAAATTTAAGTTAGCATTGATTCGCTTTAACCATAGAGAACGTTTTGTTGATGAAAAGATTCAAGATAATCTATAACAATCATAGAAGGACTTAACAAATACGAATACCACATTTTGATTAGGTGCACAGTGAAATCATTTTGTTTAGTAAGCATCAGGCCATTTAGCTTTGCTTACAACATATTGTTAAAGATCTCAGATAGGTTAACTTGACTATAGCTGGGGTTTGAGTAAACTGATCTGAGTAAATGATCAATCTATCGAATAAAAATTTCTCAATCCTAATCCTCATTTTCAAGTATATGACGTGGGATTTCAGGGGACGTCATTATTGTTTTCATACTACTCTTGCAGCATTGTGTGTAAAGAAACAGTTATCAACGTAGAATCATCCCCAGATAAAAGGAATCTTGCTAGTCTGATGTCTCATACTAAGTGAATTTCACTTCATAGATAATGAAGAGTATTTGTAAATTAGTATTCACTCTGTCCAGTAAAAGCTACAATTTCACATTAAATAGTTTATTTACTTTAACTTTAAATAGAATGAGAGAATTACTTATCAAATGTATTTGTATTAGGTGATTATATCATAATTCAATCGACTAGTTCTCCTCACAGCTTTCGAATTCTATGCGGCTGTGTAGATATTTAAAAAATATACATAAAAACAGCCATAAGTGATATAATTAGAAATCGTTTTAGGGAAAAAGGAGGATTTATAATAAAACTTGAGAAAATGGAGCGTGAAATCAAATTTAGCACGTTATTTCAGAAAGTTAAGGAACCTAACTATTTTTATTTCCCAATATTGAGCAAACAAGCCATTTGACTGGAATTTCCTTAAAAATTTAGCCATCAGATGACAAGTCTCAAACTTGAATTCTCATAACATTTGTTTATTTCAAAGAGTGCATCAGTTTAATTTTGATATTAAAGTCATTGATCATTATCTCCAGGTGAAACTAGCAAAAGTCTTTGATTAAAACATCCTGAATAAGTGTTTTAAATATGCAAAGATGACTAAATTTTATAATCAGAAACATTTTACTCGTAAATTGTTTGTTTGTTGGGGTCAACTTATATTTATGGCCAAGAGTTTTCATGTGTGTACTTCATTTCTAGTCCAAACTGAGATGTCAACTAACAGATGATAAACTAGATTCAGTGTTACATATTTAGACATGCAAAACCGTATAAGGGGAACACTGCGCTGTTGCAATCATCTCATTGATTATCTGACATCGCTAACTGTTTATTACGTTAAATATGGTAGTTTTACTATTAAATAATTCATATCTGATGTAGTATCTGAACTCATGTGGTCCTTTGATAAAATGGTTTCTCATCTGTCGAACAGATGATAAAATATAGTCACCATTCAAATTCTTTTTGATTCAATCTTACTACATGTGATCAGTTGATTACCTGATTCATTCTTCTAAGACGATCTGTTAAGGTCTCATTCCTCTGACTTCAAAGCGAACAGACACAAATGTTTTTAGTTAAAATATTCCATCAATCAAAAACATATAAATTTCGTTATTACTGATAATTTCAACTTTAACGTTGATGAAAGTATGTTTTACGCTTAAACGACTGTTCCAAAAATTTAATCAGTTTCCCTGTCCAAATACTTTTCACTGTAAAGAAAAATTACATAGCAAATAGAAAAGAAGTCATAGCAATAGCTACCATTATAAAACAGTCTAATATCCCTACTCACACTAGGGTTTTTTAGGTAACTGACAATTAATTTTAATG